CCTGTCTTTGCCTAGGGCCCCAAAGTGACAGATTAATTTATGAGTAATCGGTATGCACCAAGTACTGAATTTTGATCTGAAAATAATTTAATATGTCATATATTCGGTTAACATTGGGGTCAGAAGTTACATAGTGGGACTTATTGGTCTTTAAAAATCTTCAATAAGCGTTAAAAAGGAACAAACCTTTTAGCGTTAATTTAATTAAAGGGAAGGCAACATGGTGCATTATTAGGTATATGGTATATGAACATTTTTTACTAAAACAGCGCTGGTTTAGAAGCGATAATAGTGCACTGAAACGAGAGCCTTGAGCTGCTGCTGCCACCATCATAGCAAGAAGGATCAATTAACAGACTGACAGTTAATTAGAAGAGGAAATAATTCTTCTAGCCAACTTTTTATAACATGCAATTCTTTTTTTTTTTTTACCTTGTTTGAGGTTCTGGTTGTATATGGCAGCATAGTCAAAATGTAAAAAACTGAAAACTAAAAAAACTGTTTTTTGATTGTCTTGATTGTTGGTCACATTACTTTTAACATTGATCTTTCCACTCCAAGCCTTTAGGTGGCAGTGTCACGCTTAAAATGAGTTTGCCAACATGCTGAACAAACAGGGATTTAGGAGTTTTAGTGCAGCGTCACGACTCGATCCGTCACGGAGGCACGATCCGTACCATCAGCTCATATAGACTTGTTCAACCAGATATTCATCCAGGTTGCCATAAATAAAGTAATTATGGTACTAAAAGAACTTATTTCTAACCTTAAATCACGAAAAAATGCTAATACACATCTTTAAAATAAAATGGATGACTTTTCTTAGACAATTTGATGCTTTTTAAATTTTCTCTGTTAAACTGCTTCTGTGACATCATCATGGGACATCCTCAGAGCAGTCTGGCAAAATATGATTAAACCATGTTTATCTGCATTTTAGTTGTTTCTTTCTTCAGATTACGCACCATATAGCTTAAGGTTAACACAAAAGGAAAAAATAAAACTCAGAAAGACTAGATTTATGTTTAAATCCCAAGTAGCATAGGATCCCGTTTCCAGCACAGAGGAGTGATCAAACAGAAACGGTTGTTAAGCTTTTATTTTCTCAGGAAAACCTTATAACAGATTATAGTTTAGTATGCTTACTATTTTTAGGGCAGGAAAATGTAATTTAGTTCCGTTTTAAAATGGAGGGCGACCCGGATGTATATCTGGTTGCTCAGATGAGCTGATGGTTGGGATCATGCCACTGGTACGGATCAGGCAGTGACATGCAGAGCCATGCATGATAGCAACACTATAAAGGCCTATGACAATAGGCTTAGAACAAAAGAGCTTTCAAGGTTATGAAAATTATAAAATCTTGTAATATGTATAATATGGATTTTATGTTTATGGTTGGCAAAGAAGAGAAAGAAAAAATGAATTAATTTAGATTTTTCTGTCCAAATTCCAGAATCAAGCTGAAAAGATTGACCAACATCTTCAAGCCCAACATGTTTCCAGACGGACAAATGAAGCTCAGAAACAAACGTCAATGATGCTCAGACATCATTGCTTTAGAAGCTCATTTACCAAGAGTGTCCACTATAAGATCCAGTTGGCCGTTGTAGACTGTGACATTGACTCCAGCTGCCAACAGCTGGTCCACTATATCCACCACTGGCCTCATAAAATCCCCCGCCATGTTGCTGAAAACCTCCTCTGCTTGCCCTGAAACCAGCGCAGAGGGAGAGAGAGAAGACAAAGAAAGCAAAATACTGTAAAAATGACGGATCAGATGAATCAGTCGGAGACAAAGAGACCCGATCCCGCTCTAAGGTACCTCCCCAGGTCACATTCTGAGGGATGATACCCAGCTTCTTCCTGATTGGTCCATTCATCAGCTCGCTCAGTGACTGCTTGTGCAGAGGGCGAATGTGGCGGTGGGCTTGCAGAGCTGATGCACAGAATAAAAAAAACCACACCAGTCAGAGGAATAAATCTGGGTTCCCTCTTTGTAACTTCATTTGTTTAATGATTCTAGATATAGCCATGGTTCCATACAGATAAAGTTCCCTCCTGCAAAAGAGGCAGTTTTCTCATCTGGTTGCTGGGTTAGAATGTTATAGAAGTTCACCCCGTTGGTGTTCTGTAAAGAAAAAAAACATACAAATTATTGATTTGAACAATAAATATTTCCCTTTCATTATTCCAGCTTCAAATTATCACCCATCACCTACTTGTGAGCAGGAACCAAAACAGACCCAACCTGTCAAGCAAGCCACTAAAACTGAGGCTGGTCTGCTTGATCAGTGGCTCATAAACCTTTAATAATAGTTTTTAATCATGTTTTTTAAAGACAAACCATATGTTTCAAACAGAAACAAGCCAAAAAAACATTCTACATCCTACTTTCTAGTGTGAATTGTCCCCCTAAGGTATAATTTCTCAGTGGGACGTCTCTGGTCTCTGTCCAACCTGTCCTCTAAATCAGGGGTCTTCAACATTTTCCAAGCCAAGGACCCCAAACTGATGGTGAGATGAAGCTGGGAACCCCTAATTATATATATTGTATGAAATAGTGTTATATCAAACTGCTCCTATAGATTGAGTCATGTAATGAAAGTAATTTCTCCCTGGGATTATTAAAGTATTTCTGATTCCTGGTTGATGGGACAGGTGTTGTGAATGAAACGGTGCCCAGCTTGAAAGAGCTCCTGAATGTG